GTATCTGAGCTTGAGCTTCATTATCATAATTCATAATTCATAATTATTATTATAATGTGTTTTTTGGATAGTAATAATAATAACAACCAGTGCAGCTCGCAATGCAGAGGTGTTATGTGGGCATACCAAGATATGCCCGTTACTGCTCACACCACTGGATTCTGAACCAGTTGAAGTTTCTGGATGGTCTTCAAGGGCAGCCCCAAGTAGAGCACATTACAGTAGTCAAGCCACAAGAAGAGTAGGGCATGAGTGACTGTCTGAAAGGTTCCCTGATCTAGGAAAGGGTGCAGCTGGTGCACCAGATGGAGTTGGGCAAAGGCTTTCTTGGCCACAGCTGACACCTGCTTTTCAAGAATCCAAGAAGACCTCCAGATTGTGTACCAGTCTTGAAGCAGGAAGTGCTACCCCATCCAAGGTCAAAGATGGAATATCCCCAGATCTGGCTGGCCCAAACACCCACAGCCACTCGGATCTTGATAGGATTGAGTCAGAGACAATTCCTCCAACATATCTGCACAGCCTCAGGGTGTGAAAAGAGCAAAATTGCTACTGTAGAGGGTCAAGGCAAATAGTATATATAATGTTGGTCTAGGACTGGAAGTTAAAAATTAAAATTTAAAATCCAGTGAACCCAGTAAGCTAATGAAATTACTGCTTCTCACTTTCGCCCAACTTACTTCCCACGGTTGTTGGGGAGATAAAATAATAATGGGGAGGAGAGGACCTTCTTGAGCAGAGACAGAATGTCCAAACAAGAACCGTTCTGCAGACTTGGAGCTGCATTGCCCAGCAGATGGAACTCAGTGTCTGGAACAGAATTCTAGCATTCATTTCGGGAAGAGATAAAAATGTGGTTTCTAGCTGTGAAATTTGGGTGTGATCAAATGAGCTGTCAGAAGCCAGAGAGTGAAAATATTTCCTGTATTTCTTTTCTTCTGGAGAGAGATGTTATGTTTTCCATAGAGCTCGTTTTCCTTTTATTTCTTCCATAAAGCCATTCATTCTGGGAGATTTATAATAAGGCTTACTTCATAGTGCATCAGGGCGCCAATGTAACCTGGCTATAATTCTTTTAAGCAGCTGTTATCTTTTCTTGAAATTAATAGGATCTTTTTGGAATCAAACCTGAAGCACTGCAGAGCCCCAATTGACAGTTTAACAGCCTGGGTCCACAAAAATCTTCAGCTCACAGTCTTCCTATTAAAGCCAATCAATCAGGCATTTGTTCAAGTTACAAAGCAGTGTGCCAGTAACAAAATTGGACTATAGTCTCTTACTGGTCAGTGTTCTTAAGCCATTTCATAAATAGAAGCCGAAATCCATCCTTCCCCTAAGGCTTGCTGAAGTGAAACCAAATTTTTACCAACTTTACTTTTTTTTTTTATGGCTGACTTTATTGAGCTTCTCTTGAGAAGAGAACTCTAACATGGAGATGCCTACCATGAAGAACACTTTGCTTTGTGCCCTTCTGAATCTAACCTCAGAAAAATATCTTTCTCTGAGCAAGCTTTCTCAGATTGTTTTCACACAAGGTAGATAACCCCCTAGAAGTTCTAAACTCTAGCTCTGATCATTACTTGCCCGTTGGCTGGAGTGTGATGAGTTGCAAAGTTGAAAACATCTGGAGAGGACCAGGTTGCCTATTTCTATCTTAGATAGTTGGAGAAGGAGCTTTGCTGGAAGATAGCATTCCCAAAAAAATAATCCAACAAAACAAGTATGAGACCTGGATTTTATTTGGATAATTCAGGACATAGCACAGGGTTAAACTAAACAGTGCAAACTTCTGACTTGGAAACAATTGGTTGGTTTTCTGACAATAGAGATAAGCAAACTGGGGTGCTGTAGATTGACTCCCACAATCCTTTACCATGGTCCACAGTATCTAGGGTTTGTGAGAGGTGTGGTCCAAAACTCTAAGTTCTAGCCAGAAGCAAACACACTATATTACGGAATCATATTGGAGCCAGTGACCATGTGTGGCCATTGTGAAGATCCAGTGTGATATGGCAGAGATAGAGTCCATGTTCAGCTAGGAAACTCACTAAGCAGTTTTCGGTCAAAGGCTGCCTTTCTGAGGCTAATATGAGACTGCCCAACCCTCACATCACTTGATTACCCTAGTATAACTATATTGCTTCTCTCTCTTTTAGCCCAAGTGGGAAAAACATCTTTGATCATGGCTCTGGTGGGTGAGGAGTTCCCTGAAGAGGTGAGTACAAGTTGCTGGTGGTGTTGCTGCTGCTGCTGTTCTTCTTCTGCCTTGCAGCATAAAAACTTTCCCATAACAACTTATGAGCAGTATAAGTGCAAATGAAAATACCACTATTATTTACAAGCAAAGAAAGAAAGAGACCTCAAGGGTCCTTCCTGCAGGACAGTCGGTGGTAATGACCTTGGGTGAAAATGGAGGAGTCCAGGCAGAGCAAATCTCTGGGGTGGTGTTTGCCTGCCATTTCCCTTCTGGAATGCTTCTTCATTTCTTTGGTATGTTGAAATAACTGAATTGTACAGCCATGGATTCACCGAATCTTTTCAGCCTTGGATGTGAAATCAGGCCTTTCATCCCCCTTCTCGTTTTTATCCATGGTTGGAACTTTTTGGCTGCTGGGTCCACATTCTACAAACCTGCAGTGACCAAGCACCTTTGCCCTTCAAAATTCTGAACTCCCCAGCTTCTTCTTTTCTGTAAACTTTTCCCCTGACAGCACTGCTGTATGTTTCTTCCCCCCGATTTCTCCTCCTCCTCCTCCTCCTCCTCCTCCTCCTATGTCTACTTTGAAGCCCACCCCCCTGCCTGGAGTCCAGACACCTGGTTTCCCTCTTACCCACTCACTCCACTTCTTGGAGGCAAGATGAAGGAGACCTGAAATTTCACCCCTGCACTTGTTCCTTAAGCTCCTCCAAAATTCAGTGCAGCGTCAGATGTGCCCATGTGGTGACTGCAGATTTGAGCAGTGCAGTCTGTATGTGGCTTCCAGCCATAATCCCACATCCCTCTGCCTCTCCTTCTCTCCATCTGTGTCCCTCTTTCTCGCTCCCATCTCCCAGCAACATTCACTTGCTCCTCTCCCGGTCCCTATGAGAAGTATTGCACAGGTTCAATCAAAATTGACTCCTCACTTCCCCTGGATATTAGAGTATCGCCCGACCATTCTTGTGCAAGGACAGCTGCCCTCTAAATGTTCTGGATGACAGCTTTCAGAATCCCTTTCCTTTGGCCATTTTGGCTAAAGATGATAGGAGTTGGAGTCAAAAGCAACTTGAAAGCTGCAGGATATTAGGATTATCCTATTCTGGGGTTTTATATAATTTTCACACATATTACTAAATATTGTTCATGATGAGAGAGCTATTAAGTTGGAAGTAGCTTTTCTTGCTGTCAAGCCCTTAACGCCTGCCTATGCCAAAAAGCAAGATTCTCAGTCTTCTTTAACCAGATTTATTGAAAGGGAAAAGGATCTCTGATTTGCATTTAACTGACAGAGGCAGAGTCTGCCTGTCTCATCCCCACTGTCTCATTTTTCAACATTAGTGCTGCTAATGGTGTAAGTTTTCTAGTAGGGCACTAGGGTCATCCCCCAACTATATATTTGGGACCACTAGCTCAAAGTGATTCTGGTCGCCCTGTGAGATCATCCAGAGAGGGCCTCTGTCAGCCCCAAGATGTAGATCAGATCAAGAAATCAGCTCCATGTTAAGACTAAGGCTACTTCTATTAAGATTGGCTGTAGTACAGAAACTTTCAAATCTGATTATGGGTTACCTCCTCCCCCTCTTATACAAAGAGTTGGGCGGGGGGTGTCTGATACTTTTTCGTATTCCTCCTTCATTGTTTGGGCTTAAGCCATATTTCCCTCCTTGTTGATTTGGTAACAAATCTCTCCTCTCTCCATCAAGGCCACCCTTTTTATTCTCTACAGGGTCCCATCCTCTCAAGAAGAGAGGGGCGCACAGGCCAGAAGGCAGGCCTTCTGTTTGGGAGGCCAGGATTATGGAATATGTTGCCCCTGGAAGTGTGCTTGGCCATCTTGCTCCTCGGATTTCAAAAGACACCAAAAATGCTTCTTTTTCAACAGCGATTCAATTGCTAATCGAATGGAGACCAAGCAACCACTAGGAGGTTATAGTTCTGGATCATTTTGATTTTATATTGATGTTTTTGTTTTGTAAACTAATTTGTAAATCCAGAGTCTATACATGAAGGCAGTCTAAAAATAAATTAGGTGCTTGTCTCAAGCCTTTATCACCTGAGCTATGCTCTCCATTGTGCCAGCGATAACCCTTTTTTCCTCTAGGTACCACCTCGTGCAGAGGAGATCATAATCCCCGCAGATGTCACTCCTGAAAAAGTCCCCACCCACATTGTAGACTACTCAGGTAGGTGGTCCCCCCTGGAGCCTTAGTTGCTTCCATTTTCCTCTTTTATCCATGCAATTACTTTATTGCTGCCAAGGTGGTGGTCTTCCTTTAGGGACCGTTCTGTGTATTAGTCAGAAGAGGTCGTAGACGTTAACCTGGTTCACACATTGTGGGAAGCCATGGTGCATTTGAACATGACTTGTTCAGTAAGCCTGAATGGCATGTGAACTTGTGGATCACAGTTTTTGTAACCGATCCTAACTGCGAACACGCAATATGCAAAGCCACATGGAAGTAGATGACATCATGGTTTAGTGTAATGCCTGTGAGTCCAAAGGTTGGAATTCAGACTGGAAGGTTTCCTCTCTCCCCTCTGCATTTCCTGAAAGTGCTCATTCCTTCTCTGAGCGGTAGAGTGGCCAGCCTGGTTCCACTGCTACCCTGACACCCTGTCCACAGTGGCCCTTCAGTCTGTGACCACTGTTCTTTTGTGGATGGAAGGCTTCCGGCCTGTGGTTCCATGTGTCTCTAGAAACTTTTCTCTTGCAACTTCCAGTATGGTACAACCTTTTCACAATAGCCGTACTGAAGAATTTAACAGCTTTTATATAATTGTATTTTATGAATGCAAAATATTGGATTTTCCCTCCTCAAAACTTACACTCAGAAACAAGAAACCTGACACAACTGAAAGATAGCATTCTACCCTCCAAATGTGGTTGGCTTTCACTCCCAAAATTCTTAGTCATCATGAAGTGGGATGGCTGGGAATTATGGGAGTTGAAGCTTGATGCCTCTGGAATACATCAGATTAGGGAAAGGAGTCCCATAATAACTTGAGCAGGTACTTAACCAGTCTAATGTGAGAGTTTCTGTGGGAAACCCCCCCCCCAGCAAAATACCCTCAACTTTTGAAAAATTATATAGGCTAGATGAAAGGTTTAGTCTTTCATCTAGCCTATATAATTTGAAAGGAGATCAATTCAACTTGGGGAAGCAGAGACTGATTTCTTTGCCTTTTGAGGCCATGTTTGACATCTATCCCATTTTTAAACAGAATCACTGAAGTTAGGAAAGAGATGCTGGATGGGAACGTTGGCTGGGTGGAAGCGCTTTCTGCGTATGCCTGAAAGATTGCAGTGCCAAACCATTCCATTCTTGTTTCCCCTTTCAGAATCAGAACAGACAGAAGAAGAACTCCAGGAAGAGATTGCCAAGGTGATCATAAGGTCTGGAGGGCTGGGGTGGGTCTGGAGCAGCTCCCCTCCCCCTTCTCTATTTGCCTTCCTGAACTTCCACTCAAAAAGCAAAACTCTTTCAAAATCCCACTCAGAGCATGGTGAGGATTAACATTATCAGTTTTGTTAAGCTTGCTTAATTCGTGCTTGTCAGCAGCATCAACACTGTGAGATTTAACCTACCATGTTAAGTAAGACCCAGGCAGGAGAAGACACATAGGAGCAGGCCAAAAGTTCCTACCTCCTTGCTGAGAGCATGAATCACTTAGCATCAACAGAGTTACTATGCATACAGTTTCTTGGCCCTTGGAAGCACACATGGCCTGAGAATCAGCTGTCAGGGGGCAAACAAAGGTGTGAGCATTGCCTTCCAGCTGTGGTCTAGAATTAGCCTAAGTTAGCATTTTCAGTTCTTTGTTTAAGATGTTTCTGCTCTGCGGTTTATGCAGAGAGGCTGCTGAATTAAAAGAAGTCCTTGACATCAGGGTGTCAGACTGAAGTGGCCCGACATGAAACAGAAAAGGGACATGGAGTGGGAAAAGAAGAATCCTCCATTCTCCACGCTTAACTTTGCAAGGGTCTCAGTCTTTTCCTCTGCTGCAGCCCTGGTGGACTGCTGTTGAACAACCAGATGGAAGAACCAGAACCTGATTCTCCTTTCCTTCCCTCCCTCTGGCACAGTGGAATCAGATTCTCTGGGTGGCAGAGTTGTTTTTAGCATTGCCCAGCGTCAGTCTGCTGTGGTATTGTCAGCAGACCAGGTCATCTCATCTTGACTACCTCCCTTTAGAGGAGGTCATATCCCTCGCAGTTATTGATGGGGCAGGCAGAGATCAAGGCTGCATCTAATTCTACCTCTTGATTATATCTGCTCCCACTCCTGAAAGCTTGTAGGAAGCAAGACTAACTAGTTATTAAAATTATGAGGGCTGTGCAGACTCTTAATCTGCAATCAGAACTCTCCCCAAGGGGCCTAGTCTATGAGGTGGACTCTCTATCCCTGAGTTATGCTTCTTCTCAGAGGTGCTTTCCATAAAGGAGCTTCGGAGAGCTGACTGCCCCTGCTTTTCCTACTTTGGGCTGGAAGCTATAACATGTAATTATTTAATTCCAACAATGGACATTGCTCCCTGCATATGGAGAAGCAGCATAGTAGAGAGTGAGATCTCAGTGTCAGCCCCGCTAAGTAGACGAGACCAAGAATTCAACTCCACAGAAAGGTTAAAACTACTTTTACTGAGATTGGCTAGAAGAACAGAATCCTGCAAGTCTGATTTTGCTGGACCTCGTCTTCCTCCTTATACTCCAGTGAATCGGGGCCCTCTGCCTGAGTCTTTTCCATCTTAGCTCTGGGCTTAAAAAATGCCCCCCTTTGCTTAGTAACAGTTCCTGCATATTTCCATCAAGATCATCTTTCTTACTCTCCACACTCAGCAGAACTGTCTCCCTGCCATCCTAGCATTCAGTAAATGGGGAGCATTGTTTAAGCGTGCCAACTGTAATTGCAGTGCATCAGACTCTAGTTGGCTGATGTTGATGGTGTTAAACCCAGTATTGGGATGAAAGTTCTTTGCAACAAGAACATCTGGAGAAGAGCTTTGAGATGGAGGTTTCCATGTGTTTATAAGAGCTCTATCCCATTTTGCTCTCTTGCAGGCAAACGTGGTATGCATGGTCTATGATGTCACAGAGGAGTCCACCATTGACAAGGTAATACCTGTGGGGCTTTTAGACACCCATCCGCAAGTCCATGATGGTGCGGCTTCTCCCTGCTTTGACTTTCCCATACAAGGCCCTATGATTGTTCATTGGTTCTTTTCTGTTTCTCATGACATTTCTTCGAAGTGCATCTGCTAGATAGGATGCGTGTTGTTCTTGGTTGGAGGTGGGGGGGAAAGGACTTGGTGGCACAGCTGGATTTAGGTGTCTTCTCAACTGTTACACCAGAGCTTATCTTCTTAGAATTTGGAGAGTGGGCTGGGGTGCAGAGGTTCTCCCATCCAGTTGCTTTTCCCTTCCTTTTTTCCCAGATTCGGACAAAATGGATCCCAATGGTGAACAGTGGTGTTGAGAAATGTTCCAGGTACCTAATGTCTTACCGGGTGGGTTGTGGTGCTTTGGCCATCATGGGTCTCTGTTGTGCCTTGTTTAGCTAAGAATGTGGTACCTATTTTGAAACACTTCCAAATGCCATGCTGAAAACAAATCCCTTCTCCCCCACTCCACCCCACCCCTTTTCTGGTCCTTTGAACTACAGCCTATCTGCCATCCTTGATGAGTCTCTCCAAAATGTTTCTTCTTTTCAAGGATCCCCATCATTCTTGTGGGAAACAAGTCCGACCTGCACACTGGGAGCTCCATGGAAGCCATTCTGCCCATTATGAATCAATTCTCTGAGATCGAGACCTGTGTGGAGGTGGGGAACTGTGTGAATTGTTGGCAGGGAAATAGTAGTAATCTTTGACTGAGGATATCTCATAGCTGCACAGCATCTCTTTTTTTTTTTGGCCCATATGCTAGTAAGACACTTGACCAGCCTGGCATCTTCCAAGAACGTTGTAGCATCACCTGCACCCAAGAGCATCTCAAAGTGATCAGGCTGGGAAAGGTTGGAGGTTGAGTCATGGCAGTCTGAAGAAGCTGCTTGGACACATAGCGAAACATCTCTAACCAAAAAGAAAAGTCCAGTTGCCATGACTCAACCTCCAGACAATTCCACCTGGATGACTGAGAATCTTCATGAAAAGTCCAGTTGCCATGACTCAACCTCCAGACAATTCCACCTGGATGACTGAGAATCTTCATGAAAAGTCCAGTTGCCATGACTCAACCTCCAGACAATTCCACCTGGATGACTGAGAATCTTCATAAACCTATTGCTGGGAAAGGTTGAATACCCTCAACGATGACAATGGCTTTTTCCAATTGCCAGCATCAAAAGTTGTATCTGATTCTCTAGTTCTCAAAGCGCTTGTGGAGAGATATGTGGGCAGAGTTGTGATTGCTTGTGTGAAAGGGAAAGCCCTTTGTAAGAGCTGAACTAGAAGCTCTTACATTGGTTTAGTGGCAGCACATATTTTACATTCCAAAGACCCCAAATTTAGTCCACCAACTTCTCAGCTTTTCCCTCCACTCTGGTAGATAGAAAAGTCCATGGAAGAGGTAATGTATCTGGCAGAGAAAGAACATGCTCCAGTGTAAGGATGACTGCACATTGAAATGGAGAGCAGTATGATTACAATATAACTCAAGCATGAAGACAGTGAGTAAAAAGGGTTTTTTCCCTTCTCTCCTAACACTGGAACTTGTGGTCAGCCAACAATATAAGTTGGCTATAGATTTAGGACAGAAAAATAAAGATTTCTTCATACCACATTTAATTGGCCTGCAGCGCCATAATATTACATTGACCATCTTGGATAATCTTTAAAGTAGATTAGATTGACATGGGAAAGAGAAAAACGTGTTGGGCTCTGTTGTCCATAAATATTGTATAGAATCTCCATCTTCAAAGACTCAAAGCCTTATGGGCTAATTTTTAGGCAAGAAGTACCCTGTCTGTGCCTCTGTGCAGCTTTGTTGAACAGTGCATGGCTGCCTTTTCTGTTTTTATGACTTTTTAAAAGTTTCTTTAAACTTGGCAGGGTCCCGTAGTGCAAGATCTGCTTTATTGTAAGAAGATCAAAGTTCCTCCAGCCATCTAAGATTGTTGGAGGAATATCTCTTCCTTCTTCATCCTCCTGCAGTATATTCCTCTGCAAGACATGGATGTCATGAAAAGAGGAGTGCCCAAAAGTGGTCTCTTTCTGATGACACCACCTCAAAGTTTTTGCTTCAGTGTGAATTGGAACAAAAGGGTCTTCACTTTTAGTCTTTAATCCATGCTTGTTTCCATAGGCATCCTCAGAATGAGAACTTTGAGTGTCTTTTCAATATATCTAGTTTTTACTGATGAGCAATTCCCGGTCTCTGAATCAGTTTCTCTTTCCCTCTTTCTACACCAGTGTTCAGCGAAGAACCTGAAAAACATTTCTGAGCTCTTCTACTATGCCCAGAAAGCTGTTCTTCACCCAACTGCCCCTCTCTATGACCCAGAGGAGAAACAGGTAACGCTCTGCCTGATAGTGTTGCAATTAGTATAGCAGGCAGGACTGGAACCAATTGGACAAGCTCACAAGAACTTCTGATAAGTAAATGTCATTAAAGAAAAGTGAGGGAGCCATAGTGAAAGAATTCTAGCAACTGCTGCTTATCAAGCGCAAGCCCTACATAGAGGAAAAATACTAAATCCTTGGGCACCTTCTCCCTGTCCCACCCTATGTCACTGGCTTTTTTGCACAGAAGGTCCACTTTCCATCTAGGCTTTCTTTGTTGCAAAGGTCAGATGAGCTATCGTGTTATTTTTCACAGACTGCATGAGAACTAACACCTTAGAAGATGTGGGGTCCTTGGGAATTCTCTGAGCTTGGTTCTTTTCTTGCAAGCATTTCATTACCCGGCTAGGTAACATCTTCAGTGCTAAAATGGGATGAGGTTTGCTCTCTATTTATCTGCTGTGGCCTGCTTTGCTACCACATATTCGCCTCCATTGCTACCTTAGAAGATTTTGAACTGAGAGAGGATCTCGATGTCAAGCTGCCCTCTAGAGTACTTTAAACGTTGAGAAGAATCTCTTGGTGGTGATAGAATCCCTTTCCTGGGAAGTTTTTAGGCATCTGTAGCAGCAGTGCTATCATCTCAGCAAAGAGGGTGGAACTAGGTGGTGTTTGAAGTCTCTTCCAACTCTGTGACCCTCAGTGTCATATGATTCCATTGTATCAAGTCCAGGATGAATTCCTCTTTGTTCACATCTGGTTAAGTTACATCTGCATCCGCCTAGTCCTTTGTATTGTTTTTGCTCACCCATCCTACAGTGGTCGTCTTGTTCTGTTGCAGAACCCAGGCATGCTTTATAGCACAGTCCAAAATACAACGTGTGAATGTACCAGCAAAACAATAGGGCAACTGTAGTGAGCCTACCTGGTCGTATTCTCTCTCTCTGACTTTTTAATTATAGATCAGTTAGATCTAGTAGATCATCACTACTACTGGACAAGGGTGACAAGTCTCCCCCTTCTCACATGCATACAGTTGCTACCATCTTTCCACTGTTGAGGCAGCATCAAATTGCTAAGTCCCTAATTTTCCACGAGAGCCAGTTTGGTGTAGCGGTTAAGGTTACAGGCTAGAAACTGGGAGACTGGGAGTTCTACTCCTGCCTTGGGCACAAAGCCACTTAGGTGACTTTGGGCCAGTCACCCTCTTTCAGCCCTAGGAAGAAACAGGCAATGGCAAACCTCTTCTGAAACCTTGCCAAGAAAACTGCAGGGACTTGTCCAGGCAGTCGCCAGCAGTCAAGACTGACTTGAAGGCACACCCCCCTCTAATTTTTCCTAATTTCTGGGCAAGAGGCAGCTGTATATATAGGTGCTATTTCCAGGAGGTGAATGACAGGCATAGTTCACACACTCCATAAGCTGAAATAAGATTGGTTTGATTTTGGCCAAATATAGTGCAGCGCCAGCCCTTGTCCTTTGTAAATCACAGTTGATGGCTTCAAGTGGTGTGTAGGGCTAGCCGCAGTGGCTTTTGTGGGGCCAGTAAATGTATGGCTAAATCTTGGCTTCATTTCACTCTACATTCAATCATTATGTTACTCTGTGGCACTAAACTGGCCTTCCTCAACCTGGTTGCTGTCCAGAACTCTGGACTTCAGCTCCCAGAATTCTCAACAATGGTTGTGCTGGATGGGGAATCCTGGGAATTGGGCTCATACCTCTGAAGAGCACCCATACTGGGGAAAGGTGGTCTTCTTCAGCCTGATGGCCTCCAGATCTACTGGATTTCATCTGAGCTCCCCAACAAGGTTGGCCTTCTAGAAGTTTGGTGCGCTTGGAGAGCACCAGTTTGGAGAAGACTGTTCTAGACTATTGGGCAAGTAGCTTCTGTGCATCACTTTCTCCATCTCTCTGTGCCTGTGATTATGGAGTTCTGGGAAATGCAGGATCACTTTATATTACCCTCTTTAAAATTGGACCTTTTTTCTTTTGCCTCTGTTCATTCAGTTAAGACCAGCATGTGCACAGGCGCTCACTCGGATTTTCAACATGTCTGATCAAGACAACAACCAGATCTTAAGTGATGAAGAACTTAACTATTTCCAGGTACCCTATTGTTTTCAGGGGAGAGGGGAAGAACCTGGAAATCTCTCTGTATTCTCAGAATGTCTGTTGGCACCAAATCTGATGCCCCTACAGGATATATTGAGCTTATATAATGGCAGTACCTTCCTGAAGAGGAGCTGCAAACTTTCTCTGAGTGTGCAGCTTCAGTGCTATGCTATTTGCACAATGGAGAGCTTGGATCTGTGCTTAGTTGGAGAAGGCAATCAGGACTGGTTCCTAATTCCAGCTCCTGGCAGATCTGAATTAACTGTGGAGGCTGTTGAGGCAAGGAAGGTGGGGAGTATAGTATAGAGTGCCCATGTATTAAGGGGGAGTTCTCCCTCAACATCTGGGTCCGAAACATTCCATCACTGAACACCGTAACACCAAAATGTTGCCATTCCAAGTATTCCAGATCTCAAAGCAATCCCCAGAAGTTTCTTGATTCCTAGATCAATGACTTCTGAGAGAATTTGGAATACGCCCGGATTGCATATGGGACATCACAGCTTTCCAATAGCAGCTGAGCTGTGACCTCCTCTCTGAGTCAGTGTGATGCTTCCATTTGTTCTTTATGGATAGATGATTCCTTTTGGAGCTGTCCCTTCTTGTGACTGATCTCCTTGCTTTTCTTGGGAAGTAGAAATCCTGCTTTGGAAACCCTTTGGCTCCTCAGGCTCTGGAAGATGTAAAAATGGTGGTCTGGAAGAACACAACAGATGGTGTCCAGGACAATGGCCTTACACTCAATGGTAATTACAGCAAATCAACCCTTTGTGTGCCTGGCCCTGGAGATGATTTCAGAATCCTCCTTAGAGGTTGAGAAGACTCAAATCTGTCCCCTTTGGGGTAGCTTCATTGCAATTGCCTGTCCCTGTAGGAGACTCCTGTACCTGGTCCCCTTTTCTCTCCCCAGGTTTCCTTTTCCTCAACACCCTCTTCATCCAGAGAGGGCGCCACGAGACCACATGGACTATTCTCCGCCGCTTTGGCTACGACGATGCCCTGGAGCTGACCGATGACTATCTCTGCCCACTGTGAGTCAGTCTTAACCCTCCTGGTTTTTTAGGTTCCTGTGGAAGTGAGGAGGTATTATGGGACTGGAGGAAAAGATGATGTGAGAGAGATGTTCTTTAGAAGTAACCCACATTGAGTTTTCCTGGTTCTTTTGTGGTTCCATCAGCTTAAAGCCGTTTTTCCCAACATGTTGACCTCCAAGTGGGTTGGACTGCATCTTGATCTCCAGGCAACTGGAGGAGATAGGAATTGTAATTTGTCACTCCTGGAAAGCATCAGCGTAGAAAAAAGGAGTTTTGAAGGCCATGTTCTGAAGATCAAGCTGGCCTTTTTTGTTACTAACCTCAGCTCCACAGCAGCACATAAGGGATGTTTTGGTCAGCCTGGTAGCCTTGCCCCAGGGTAAATGGGGAGGGCAGCCTTTGTTTTAATTTTATCATTTAGATGGAGTGAGGGAGAGCAATCCAGAGTGGTGCAGTTGGGTTCAGGGCCACTGTGGAGCAGTTGTGAGGGGAAGCAAGTGTGCCCACCCCAACATGCTTCTGCCCTTTTTTCATCCCCCAATGTGGGAATGGGAGGAGAAAACGAAACCTACCATAGTTAATCACTAGAGAGGACCCCTTTTTACAGGGCTTGTCTAGGATATCTTAATTACAAAGGAGGAAAGGGTTAGTTGATGCTGGGAAAGACTGAAGGCAAAAGGAGAAGAGGACGGCAGAGGATGGGGTGGTTAGATAGCATCACTGAAGCAACGAGCAAACTCAGGGAGGCAGTGAAGGACAGGAAAGCCTGGCG